ATAAACTTGCTAAATAATTTTTTTGCTTTAGTTTAGTTTATTTAAATGTATTAGTTGACTGAACTGCTTTGGTTTGTTGTTTCAACTCAGAAATCAAAGTCAGTTTCACTTAAGTGTTAAATAATTAAAAGACTAAATATAACATTCCTGCTTCACGTTTTTTCACTTATTGCCGGACGTGTCCGAAACATAACCCCCGTGATAAACGAGGGACCACTGTATTGGTGTCTGGGCTGTTTGTGTCGAAACTGTAGAGATGTGGAAGAAGATGTGCACGTATCGTAGAGCTGCTTATTGTGGTAGAAATTAAGATATTTCAGTCTGTGGATTAGAGTAAATCCACAATAAATTCAACAAATGTGCACCATGTTTTTAAAAGTTAGAAATTGTATAATCATTGCACACTGGAAAAAAAAACCAAAAACATTAATATAGCGTTCATGTTCACCGTGTGTATGTAAACATCTGACTGCCACTGTAACAGACTGTTCATGCACCTGAAGCTTAAAGCAAGGACAGGACAGCTCTGCTGCCACAAAACTGGACACACATCACAATTCATTTGGCTCCAACATTTAAGCCCCAAAATCCTAAAACCTTGGGTTTCTAACCCACTTTTTTTTAAAAGAAAGTTGTTGTTTTTTACATTTATGGCCGACACAGGAGCTCAACAACTCGTGACTTCAGGTTTATATTTAAACCTAATATTCATTAGCTCTAATCCGAGACTAAATTTCCCTTTTTAACGTGTTTTAAACACGAAGCCTCATCACAGTTTGTCGTTAGTTGTGTTACTGGTTTCCTCAACAACCTAAAGACTAATTCACGTTGAGGCAGCAGTGGAGGAACATGCGGGGGTGTAGCTTATATGTAAAGGAAGGGGGGAGTGAGGTATCTGTGTCGAGCTTGAAATAACTTGCTTGTTATGATGAGAGGCTCTGAATGAAGCCACTTCAGTGTTTCCTTTGACAGGAGTTTAGTCATCATCGTTATGAGACGCTGACAGCCGCTATAGAAGTCCTTTATCCACCAGGCAGAAACATAAGGCACTTAAATACATACAGAGTAAAGCTGAACTGAATACCGACTGAAAATGTCTTTAGATGTTAAACACTTTACTCCACTGTAGAAGTACGACCAATGGGTGTTCAGCAAGTTCAATCTTTAACTAAAAACAGTTAAATTTGCTCAAAGTTGGTAAAAGATAATACTAAAAATATTCATAAAGTGATCACGTTGTATTTATCTTCTGCTCTGCTCAGACTCTTTTGTCTGTTTCTTTTCCACTCTTCGGGCTTACTTTTATCTTGATGCAGATGAATTTCCAGATTCCCAAAGAGAAAATAAAAAAGGAGGCGATGTTGAGATCCGAGATCCCCGGCCCCATCCCTGGTCCTGTGGTTGGACCAGGTGAACTCCCATGAGTTCAGCATGAAGCCACAACTTGCCTAAGATCATCAGTTTCATTGTTAGTTTTTTTTGTTGTTGTTGATAACATCCTCGCAGTGTGGGTTATAAAAACTCAAACAACCAGATTCTGTCTCTACTGGAGCATTGAGGGCACACTTTTCTTTAACGTGCACCTACGTTTTCCCTAAAAGTCTCTCATAGCCACTCCTAAAAGGATCATACATTTAATATTGGAAGAAGGAGTGGTGCTAACTTAAAGCCTGGAAGTTAAATCAGTTCCTTTCAAAACAAAATTAGCTTCAAAAATATGAATACGATCATGGGCAACAAAGGTTTGGTGGCTATTTTATATAAAATCTCAAGAGTACAGTAGTTGGAAGAACAATCAGCTAATTAAACATGAATTTTGTTGTTATATTTCAGCTTACTTCAACCTTTAAAGCATAATTTTCACATGTAGCTTGTGCTGAAAGCTAGCAGCTAGCCTTTGTTTACTTTTATCTTGCGAACCCGTTCAAGTTTAACAGTGACGTGCACGTCGTCGACTAAGGAAGTTAAATGAAACTGTGCAGTTCTAATAGAGAAAATGCACAAAATAAATTTTAAACTCACACTTGCAGTAGAACCACATAGAGAGGTGCAAAGAGAAATAGAAGTAGTTCATTATTATGACTCGGGGCTAATAAACCATGAATTTCTATCAACTTATTAGCCTCTTAATAATGACCTATAGTCATCAACACCGCCCCCTAGTGGTGGAAAATAACAAACAGCTTTTTTTGCGAGAGAGAAATACAGGTATAAAATATGAACCAATAAGTTAATGTTGAATGGGTTAGAAAATACTGAGAGGAGATGGTGTTTATTTTACCAAAACACTTTTCAATTTTCAGGAACAAAAAGTCTGAAGTGGGCAAGTTTGTTCAGAACAAAATTTTGACTCGTCACTGAAAATATTCTTTGCAGATGCTGGACTTCTATAACGGCTGCGCTGTCATATAGTCCTAATTTGAATTTATTTATTATTTGAATTTTTTTAAAGCACGAGAGAACTCACAGTGGTTGATTTGAGACTCTTCACTGAACGTAAACGACTGACGTGGGGGGGTTGAGTTCCCCAAACATCCTTTTTGTCCTCCTCCTGCTGCTCTGCTCTGTCAGTCACCCAAAGTGATCATTTAATGTTTGAGACAGCAGGGACTCTGAGCACCATCATATTCAATAAAGTGTCTTTTAAATTAAAATAATAAAACAGGGTTGGCAGTACGTGTTTAGAACACATATCAAGAAAAAGCACATAAATACCTGGAACAGAAGGTAATACATATTACTTGCAATAATTCAACACATTTCATGTGTTTTTGATTAGTATCTTTCTTATTAGAGCCATGACACACTTAAAAAAATTACAACACAAATATTAAAAACAATACTTTGGCTAACGTTTCACTCATAGTGATAGTTTCTCTTAGATCCTTATATAACGTTACATAAAGTGTACTGTATGGGTGTGTGTGCGCACTGTACACATGTTTTTATATGCACAGTCAAGGTAAAAATAAAAAACAAACAATCACATCTAATGTTTTATGTATCAGGATATAATGGGAAATATTTAGTTTTTGAGTAGAAACAACCTCAGATGAACAACAGCTGATATTTTAAACTTTGCTATTTAACACGTTAAATGATGAAGCCCAAGGTGTTGCATCATAAACCACATACACAATAACGAACTTCAAAAACAGTCCTCAGACTGATAGGAAACACCAGCTGTTTCTCTGAGGTTATCGCTAATGTCTTTCCTCCTTGGTACACAAGTAGCTCATGTGTAATGATGATCAATTAATCAATATGTCTGATCAGCAGCAGCAGGCGGCTATTTCTTCTGTTACGTCCTCTAGAAGCAGCGAGGATGGGCTTAGCTTTTCCAGCATTTCTTTTTTTGTTGTTGTAGTTAAACAACTAATGCCACTGTTGTTCATCTGAAGTTGTATTTTTCAGGGGTTCCCAACCCTAGTCCTTGAGGAACACCAGTCTGCATGTTTTAGTTGTTTCCCTACTCCAACACACCTGATTCAATGATTTAATTACTTCCTCATGTTTTACAGAAGCCTGTAAATCACCTGTTTATTGAAACCAAGTGTTGGAGCAGAGAAACAACTAAAACATGCAGGACGGTGTTCCTCAAGGACCATGGTTGGGAACCCCTGATTTAACTAAATGTAGGTGGTGTGAAGAGATTTTTTTTTTTTTTATTACGTCCCGAGATTAAAAAAAATAATAATAATCTTCATACGTAAATAGGGTTTACTTTATATTTTACTGCCTTACAGGATTACGATGACTGTATGTTTTCACTATATTTTATTTTATAGTTTCCAAACCACTGACTGACATTGTTAAATCTCTCCTGACTGATAGATAAGCATTAAAAGTTCATCTCACAGTAATCAATCATTCTTGGGCACAAAAGAATAAATAATTTTCAATCAGATGTCTTTTCCCACATCTAACTTATAAACTATTCTTTCTGCAGTTTTATGATATCTATGCAAAGTGACGCTTTCAGGATTAGAATTTTATTAAAATCTGAGAAGCTAATACTGTAATGTGTCTCTACACAATAAAGTTTAAATACCTTTATAATGATAAAAGTGAAATGTTTTTGTTTTACTAAGCAGCTGCATTGATGAAGTTTGACTTTTGTTGTTGTTGGGAAATTCTGATGTTTTTTTTTTTTTTTCAAACAATGCATTTAAAAAAAATTAAAAGTTCAGATGAGTGAGTCTGAATGTAAAAAATGAAAAAGAAAATGCTCTTGGTAAATGGTAAAATGTGAAATAAAAAGCTTACAATAATTTTCAAAGAATACAATCCTGTCAGTGCAGTTGTGTTTAACCTCTGACGGCCAGGATTTAACAGTGAATGAATCTCATATTCTGGTATTCATAAAATCTGAATTTTAGCTTACATATATTATCTCAAGAATCATGAGGATAATTCTGCTCATTTTTTTAAAAATTACTTGTCTGATAATCTACAGTGTCAAGAAATGTTGCGACTACAAGCTTATTTTGTGCAGACTCATTTGTGATACACCTGAAATCTCAAAGACTGATGAAATGCCACCACCCAGTCTTAAAAGAGCCACTTGAAAATGAACCTAACTAACTCGTATACGTTGAGGCTGTTCCGTTGTGTTGTGATCACAGTGCAAGATCCTAAAACTATGCGATTCCCGAGCCAAAACACAGCGCTGTCCTGCTGCCAGATGTGCATTTCTGATGAAATCTGCACAAAGCATCCTGTCCTGTTCGGCAGATGTCTGTGGAAGATTTTAAAAGTTTAAATATAAAACAAATCAACAAAGAAATATAGTGAGGAAATCAGTAATGACTTTTCCAGCCGTTACCCTGGGGGAGGGTCTGAGCTGAATGTCAGAGTAGTGTGTTCTTTGTTGGATTTGTATTAAGCGACACTTTATATCTTTCACAGATCACAGGGGAACACTAACGAATAAGATTCTGTCTTATTTCATAATATATTTGATTATTAGCTATATGAGCATAGCAGAGTAGGTTGTTGGTTGGAGGTAGGGTTGGGAGGTATTCTCAGGGTTGGATTTTACACGTTTGGTCTTTTTTTTTCTCATTATTATTATTTTTACATTCCTATAAAATCTGCTTGCATATATATTGACACCTGTTTTGGCAGATCCTGTTTCTGCCGGTCCCTTCAGTCGTCCTCGAGAGTTTCCGTCTTGATACGATTTCCTGCGCTGCCTCGCGCTCCGTCCACCTGATTGGCCGAGGCTGGGCCGCTGTGATTCACCGTCGTCTTTTCTGAACTGACTGGGTCCTGCTGTTCGGACAGCCCGCTCGGGAGGCTCGGTTCGTCTTGGAGGGAGGGGGAAGGAGGGGACCAGGACGTGCCTGTCAGTCTGGAACCTTCAGCCTGAGAGCCCACCCCTGACACAAGGGAGCGAGCGATCAGTGACATTCCCCTCTGTCCAGACACGCCTCCTCTGGCCAGGGCAGAAAACCAGCTGGGGAGCTGCGGGGGGACCTGGGTAAGAAGGAGACAAAGGTAGAAGACGTTGGAGAATTTGCAGCTCCGCCTGGATTCTTTCATGTGGACATAGTTGGGAATATACCTGGGTTGGAGAAGACAAGTCGGCCCGACTGAATGCAAACTGCCTGGCTGAAGATCTCTTGTCGAATAAGGACACCTCACCCTGGGACAGGTTATTCAACAAACAAGTCAATCCTGTGTCACATTAAAATTAAAAGCTTTAATCAGAGACGAGCTGTCACAAACTGAGCACCAAAGGAGGAGTTTATGCTCATTATCTGCGCAGACTTGCTTCACCTGGTCCGGGAAGTCATTGCCATCCACCTCATCACTGTTGGACTGACCTCCTGGACTCTGAACCTCGATGCCATGGCTCTCCAAGATGGCTGCTTCTTCAAAACACAAACGTCATCATAGCATATCAACTCTACAGATGTGACACAAACAGTAACAAAGCAGACATGTTCAGAGACAGAGCTGTTAACAGGAGAACATCCTCAAAGCTCAAGTTGGTGAAGGATCAAGCATTTGCCCAAGTTATCCAGGTTAACTTGTTTAAACTTTAGGGTCTCTCATCAAACTGATAAAAACATTATAGCTTTATTTACTCCTTCACAAAACGCTCCGACAACAACTATTACAGGTAGTTGCTTTCATTATAAAGCAAACATGTTGTCACAACACTGCCACCAGTCTTTAGGGTAGTTTTGTTAACAGACCAGCTTATGTCAAAGAAGATGAGGATTAAAGAGACCCTACTTGGTAATCTTGATAAATCCAAACGTGCCTTGACTAGCGGTTAGATTTAATCTCAGATTTCTGATAGCAATCAGAGTTTTTCATGTTCACAAACACAGAGGTAAACATTACCTATGTTGGCTCGTCTCTTGATGTCTTTGCGGCGGTTTGCAAACCAGTTGTAGACCTTCAGAGATGTAACTCTCTCCAAATCAGAGAGCTTCTTCCCTGTAAAGACACACACATACATATAATAAATGTGCTGTAGGGGCTGCAAGAAGTGCTCCAAGGAGAGCGTACACTCAGTGAGAACAGGTAAGAGGAAAAGTGTCTCTGCAGTTAGAGCTTTAAACTGGCCGTGCCTTCATAAACCTTAATGCAACAAGGAAAATGACATTTAAAAAGGTGCATTTGATGCAGCTACATGAGCTGCGGCATCAGTCTTCTCTACCCATGCTGCCTCATGATGCAAAGGCAGAAACAATGGGCAAGAGCTCTGCAGGGTGCAAGAAAAATCTGCCACAAAATGTCACTGGTAAAGGTAATATAAACAAAACAAGAACAATTTTTTTCATTTGTTGCACAGACTGTGTTTAAAGGCTAATGGTTAAAGGTTAATTATGGAACAGCTGCAGGAACGCCAAAAAGGGAACATCTGGGCTTCCATTTTGTTATTGAACTATTCAACTACAAGAAGTCCAGTTGTTTTGTTTTTTATGTTTTCATTCACAATGTCCTCCTGGATGACTGAAAATCTACACCAGCACGCTGCCGCGACACAAGATGATGGTGTTTATTAGCCTAAATCTCCAAGTGATCCAAGAGGAAAAACTCTGCAGTGTTGTTCAACTTGTCTGGTTATTTTAAAAAGTAAACTATTTAATTATATTTGGCTGCTACCTGTTAACTGTCTTGCAAACTGGACCATCAAACAGCACTTTGTAAATACAGGGAAAAGAAGTATAATTTATATCTTGGTTGTTCTTAAAATCATACCAGAGACCATATTTTCAATATTTGTCTTAACGCAAGGTTTTTAACTCTTTCTTATTATTTTGATAATAGTAAAATTATTTTTACCCAATTGTTGCTGATTTAAACAAATAAATTTAGCAGATCTTTATAGCAATAAAACCACAGCGCATCAACAGACAGAAAGTTAAAAGCTTTGCTGCTGTTAACATTAAAGTGGATTACAAATAATCAGTGTGTATTGAAGCATATTCAGCTTTGTATTTGAAATGTATATTAAAAATAAAAAGGGTAAAACTAGGGGTGCACCGATAAATCGGCCGGTCGATTTAAGGGCCCCGATTTCCTTAATTTTGGGAAATTGGAGATCGGCCGATACTTACACGAGAAACCAATTTTTAAAATTTTAACAACTGTCTAAACTTCATTTATATTTCAGAGCACTACCTCATGGCCAGTTAAAACAAGTTTGTATTGTTTCTAGGATATTGTTCAAGGGTATGTTTTTCAGTAAAATAAGATTGGAAAATTGAAGGTGCATTGTGACTTTATAACACCTGACAGTGTTGCTTATAACACAAAATCGGAATCGGCAGGTCAGACTTTTTAGAAATCGGTGATCAGGCAGAAAACTGCAATCGGTGCACCCCTAGATAAAACTGAGCAGTTTAACTAGCTAAAATAAAGTGGAACAATACTGTCATTTTAAAAAAACTGCAGCAGATATTCCAACGACTGATATATTTGTGCAGTCGTCCAGCTCTACAGCGTACCTGGTTTTTGAATGACAGCGTTGCAGGCAGTGGCGATTTCCTCTCTCTTGGCTTCATCAGGATACTGGTTATCACTGAAGTAGCTGTTTATACACAACAAACTGCATCAATTTCTGTTTACAAACTGATTTTTTATGTTTTGTCCATTGTGACTCTCTGGCTTCTATTCTCATCCTTACCTCTCCATGACAGCCAGACACTCCTTCCTCCAGGTGAATCTGCTCCCTCGTCTCAGCCGGAAGCCCCCAGGGGCTGGCGCAAATGGGGGTGGGGTTTGGTGCCACTCCATCACATCCTCCAGAGCCAGAGGGGTTGCTCGCATGGCCAATGTGGCACCTGTTGTCATAACGAATGGTAAACCATTTGGACTGTTGTTCATGACCGCTATAAGCACTGATGAATATATGAAGCACTGATGAATATATGAAGCACTGA